TTTTTTAACTACACTGAGCAAAGCATCTAGCTAATTGCTGGGATTTCCACGATGAATTGAACTTACTCTATACCCTCTAGGCACTAGTGGAGGATACCAAACAAATAATTGCATCCAAGTGATAAGTGCTCTAATGGAGGTACACATCGGTTGCTATGGAAGCAGAGTAGGACCAGCAGCTTTTCCATCAACAAGGGCACAAGGACCACTAGAAAGATGTTGGGTCACAGGTGAGTCTTAGAGGATCTGGAGTTAAGACACAAATATCAGAGAGGGAAATATGAACAGTAGAGCTCCATAGGAACTGGCAGCTAGACCAGATCTCCCACAGGTCAGCACTTTGGGAAAGACCACAAGGAGGGTAGAGACCTGTCCCTTGGGGCCTTGAATGCTATGCTAAGAAGTTTGATGTTTCTCCCAAGATGGATTGGGAATACATATGGATTTTAAAGTAGAGAGTTGTATGCTCACCAAGAAAATTAGGGTGGCATTTTGGAGAAATGATAGGGAAAGACCAGATTTTTCTTATAGATTGTTTATTGGGGGTGGGAGAAAAGAGTGTTTATTTCTGTAATCAGTTTTCTTGCTAATTCTAAACTCTTCACTAAATGTCAGCTGATTTAATTTGCCAAAGTTTAGTTTGTATTACTTCAGATGAAAGACTCATTCCCTAAATGGCCTCTTTTCTTGCTAATTCTAAACTCTTCACTAAATGTCAGCTGATTTAATTTGTCAAAGTTTAGTTTGTATTACTTCAGATGAAAGACTCATTCCCCAAATGGCCTTACCTGCTCTGGCCTGAAGCTATGTAACATTTCAGTCCACAGTAATACTCTGTTGGGACTAGAAGTTTCCAAATTTTGTGCATGCAGTTTTTCTTCATGAGGGTGTTGCAACCAGATAGCAGTTTTTAAACCCAGCATCTACTCTATAGAGACATTCTCATCTGCCAAAACAGACTTACATAACAAGTAGATGTGGCCAAGCAGACATGAAAAAGCAACTTCCACCCCTTGATACCAGGCTAGAAAGAGAAAAGCAACTTCAGAGAACATATTATGACTCATCAAAGTCCCCAAAGAAAAGCTTCCTGGGAATGTAGCATCCTGTGCAGCGTCCCTGAGTCCTTTAGCCTCTCACCATAGTTGCTTTCCTATGATTTTCTACAAACAAAAGCGTCTCTCATTTTCTTCCTTAGCATCATCAATTGTTATATTTTGCTTTACCTCGGAGAAGAAGCTCGTGTTATATACTATCCACTCTCTTTTTCATACGGAGCAAATGCTGCTGCCTTTTCATTTCTCATGAGTTTAAGAATGCTTTGATAAAATTCTGACTTGAGGCAGTGCAAGCTACAAACAAGACAATTCTTCAGAGGAGAAACCTGAAGGGAGAAGGTGAGGCATTCTTAGGTCAATGTGAGGGGAAAGAGAGCCAAGTATCTATATTTAATCTGTACTCCCAACTACATATTGTGTTCTTTTATTCCTGTAGTTGTGCATATAATGTATGGGTAGCAACCCCTCCAAGTACTGCATCAAAATTTTATGTAACCTGGAGAACACACACATATAACAAAGGGAAGACTTTCTCCTTACTTTCTCTCTGACAAAATGCCAGGAGGAATGGCTGCTGGCTTTAGTGTCTAGAAGATGATGGCTGCTCTTTCTAAGGTTTGTCATGGCAAGTGGAGGTAAGATTTTATTTACAAGGGAATAAAGGTAAAGCCATGCTGGGCATGGTGTGGTATACCTGGGTCAGGAGGCTGTGAATGCCAGGACACTTTGGGATAGCTAGCCCCTGCAAAGCACACACACACACACACACACACACACACACACACACACAGAGAGAGAGAGAGAGAGAGAGAGAGGGAGAGAGGGAGAGAGAGAGACAGGCAGAAAGACAGACAGACAGACAAAGTCAGACATATATACAGAGACAAATGAAAAATGGATAGGGATAAATACACACACACACACACACACACACACACACACACACACAGTGTGACATCATCAAATTCTTAATTTCTTTTTCAAGACAGGGTTTATCTGTGTAACAGCCCTGGCTGTCCTGGAACTTGTTTTATAGATCAGACTGGAGTGGAATTCACAAAGATCTGCCTGCCTCTGCCTCTGCTGGGATTAAAGGGACCACCACCACCTGGCCTTCAAATTGTTAACCTTGGGCTGTAAAGTTGACATATGAAGGAAACAAAGTGGACCCATAAAGTTGAAAACCTAATCCGTGTTAGTGAATAAAGATAAGCATTGTCATTAGGTCAAAGCCTTTTATTATACACAATTAGGTTTCTGGCTGTATTTCTGTAAGGATGAAACATTAGGCAGTTAGAAGTTAGTATTTAGATTATATACTTACTAAACTATTAATTGTGTTTAGTATTTCTTGGACTATATTCCCAGTTGCTCTTATATTAGTCTATCCTCAGAAGAGAAGCAATTTCTTATAACCTTCCAGGCACACTATATTCTAGTCCCTTAGTGTCTGTGTTTTTTGTTTGTTTTGTTTTGCTTAGAAGTTCACTTTGGGGTACACAAAAAACAAGGAAGACTAATATAACAAGCAAGTAATAGCATTTTGGAAAACTATAAAACTATAGGGTGTGTGATCATTCGCTCTCCTTACTAGGCGAAAGTGGAGACTTGGTAGTGTTTCCTCCTGGGGCCTGGACCAGTGATATAAACCCTTCTTGAAACATAATGAGCACATACCGAATCTGATATTTGTTCCCATTGTTCCTTGTCATCAACATACCCAGTATTGGAGCGGAGCTTAGCATCCTTAGAATGGCACTTCAGACCCTGTTGCCCACACAGTCAATTCTGTAAAATTATAAACCGTCTTAAAATAGGATTTTTCTCTAGGGTGGGAGGGATCCTCACACAGTCAATTCTGTAAAATTATAAACCGTCTTAAAATAGGATTTTTCTGTAGGGTGGGAGGGATCCTCAACCAAACAGTCACAGTGCACTTTGAATGACTAATTTAAGCCATTGCATTGCAAAATAAGGGATAAATCATACTTTTCATAACACGACCACATAGGAGCAGTTTTAATTTTAAGAGTCAAGCACCTACATTAATCTGAGTCTAATATAATAGGCCCCTGATTTAAAATCTCCTAACATTCTTTCACACTTCATAAAACTAAAAATAAAACTGCCTCACCAAATAGTGACCTAGGGTCCAGCTGACATACTGTATTTCAAGGGAAACTGAAGCACTCGCTCTCGAAACCACTACGTGCAGGCAAATTGCAGTTTGTAGCCTTAATTGGTCTTAAATGTGGGGTGGAAGAGAGAGGAGACTCCGGTCTGTAGAGAATGCGATTTATTTCCCTATTTAAATCAAAAGCAGAACCCATAGTTCAGCTGCCCCATGACTCTTCCGCCCCACCCCCAGGGGGTAGTCCCCCCATATTTTCATGTATATTTTGCTCGAAGATGACAGGTGAGGGGAGGTGACAGTGCTTAGTGCTTTTCAGAAGTAAACACAGGGGTTAGGCGGGTTTGTTTGGGTTTATTTATTTACTAGGCGTCCAGCCTCTCAGCTGTTTCTCTTCGCTGGCATTTGGAAGCTTGCAGTCCTTTACGGATGAGACAGATTTGGCAGACTCGTTCTTTGTGCCGCCTCCCTTTTCACTGGGGGTTGGGGATGGGTGAGAAGAACGCAGATTTATGACAGCCTTGGGGGAAGGGGGGGTCGAAAAAGTTTCAGCTGGTATGATAATACCCATTTTCCCCCCATGGGCCAACACTGTGCCACAAACAGCTTTGGTGCCACTCGGAGCCCTGCCCCCGCCGTCCCCTCCCTTTCTCTCTGCAGGCTCGAGCTGGCAGGCGCAGGCACACTTAAATTCCAGCACGGTCTCCACATTCCCCGAACTACTACGCTCTATTACTACGGCTCGCTTCGGGGGCTTCCCCAGCCTCCCCCGAGGAGCTCGGAAGACTACTGCCAGCCGAGGGACACGCGGCGCCCTAGTCCAGTAGGGCTGCGGGCTGGCTGCGAGTCCTGCGCAGTTTCTCTGCTCCAGGCACAAACACAGCGGAGAGCCGGCGCCTCGCAGACACACACGGATCCACGCATACAGTAGAGCTGTCTCGATCCACATTCTTGCACACCGCCCCCTGCTCCCCCCGCGCTCCCGGAGTC